GAAGAGACGGCTATATTTAGGAGTTTCGACAGTGAAGGGGTGAGAGCGGGATGCCAGCCTCGTAGGGCGCTGGAACTAGTTGCCGAAGAGGTATGTTTTAAACCGTTCGGCCTCGAAGCTTTTCATGCATATATATATATATATATATATATATATATATAAAATATGGTTTGGTTTGTTTTACGCATATCGACCTCAATGGGTTATTTATTGCTGGTTATCTTTATTGCTGGTAATATTTTTTTTCCAAAACTTATAGCTGGTAATATATTTTCTTCAAAAGTATAATTCTCGTAATACTTTTTTACAAAAATGCATTGATGGAAATATTTCTCTTTTCAAAAATGCATTCCTGGAAATTTTTTTTTTTCAAAAATGTAGAGCTGTTTATTTTTTTTTTTTTAAATGTATTAATGGAAATAATGTATTGCTGGTAATAATTTTTTACAAAGTATTTCTGGTATTAAAACATTTTTACACTTTCATAGTTTTTTGACACCAGTCTGGGTGTTAACTATTTGCCCATAGCTGGGACCCTAACAGGCGCTACCACCCCGGGTCAGGGTGGACGTGGGAACATCAGCAATTAGGAGGTGGTTCGACGCTCCTCAATTCTTCTGATCAGTGGCCTTGCTTTTGGATGTAGTTTATCGTCATACCCAGGACGTGCATATATATATATATATATATATATATATATATATATATATATATATATATATATATATATATATATATATATATATAATAATATATACAAAAGTAAAAAGACAAAGGGTATCTTATCATAGCTGACGAATTTCCTGTACTTATGGAATTTATCAAGGGATATTATTTTGGAATAAATGTTTATAAACAGAAGTAAGAATGTCATTAGTTTTTCAGAAATTTTCAATTTACAACGCTTATGAATTTCCATCAAGATAACTGAAAGTAAAGGTAAATTATGATGTCTAATAACAAAAACTGTCGTTGATTGTTTTTTTTTAAATATTGTAATTAATAATTTTTTTTTTTTTTTAGTTTGGGACTCCTTTATGTATTATACATTTTAAATAATAAGTTATGAATTGAACCGTTTTGTTTTATTTCTCAAACATTTTTATTGCCAAGCATGTTGGCTTAGGAAAGGATTATTTCTTTCAGGAACGGAGATATTTGAAAAAAGATCGCTGACGCAGATTTATAGTTTGGTAAAATTCAAAAATTTTCCATCTCATTAAAATCCATTTTAATAACTGTGGCCTTCTTTAGATGGCAATTGTGGTTGAATTTATTTCTATCTATGACTGAATCATTTGATAAATTGTTGAGTATAATATCCTTTTTTCTGCACATACGTAGATACGTTTTGTTTTTTGTTTTTTTTCTATTTCTGCAAATTTCCCCAATATACTGTGAGGAACAGTTGTCACTGTTTATTTTATTTATACCTGCATCGGAATTATTTTTATGTCTATTTATGTTTCTTATATCTATGATAGCTTTGGGTCTAGTAATAATTATTTTATATTGTTAATATTAGTGTTTTTTTTTTATGCGCCTGTGCTTGTATATATTTCTCGATGAGATTTGTAAGAACGAATTTTGGAAGATACACAAACTACTTACATACATAAAATTTTATTAAATTTAACCGACAGCGGCTTTCTATTTATGTTTTTATTTTTTTTTATTTTGAAAAAAAGAGTTTGTAGATTGGGATCGAAATTATGAATAAACTGTCCAAAATTCATAGGTTTTCTTCTGGTTTGTTTAATAAACTCTGTACAGTTTATACATATTGCCGATCTCGTTATACGATATCTCATTCAGAAATCAGGAAAATATAATAAAATAAATAGAGCTTTTCGGTTGAATTTTGAATTTGGCAAAAACATTTGTATGAATTCTTACTGTGTAAAAGCATCTACACACACACACACACAAGCACACACATATATATATGCGTATGTATATATATATACTTATGTATATATATATATGTATGTATATATATATATATATATATATATATATATATATATATATATATATATATATATGTATATATATATGTATATATATATGTATATATATATATATATATATATATATATATATATATGTATATATATATATATGTATGTATGTATATATATGTATGTATGTATATATATATATATATATATATATATATATATATATATATATATATATATATATATATATATATATATATATATATATATATATATGTATGTATATATATATATATATATATATGTATGTATGTATGTATATATATATATATATATATATATATATATATATATATATATATATGTATGTATGTATGTATATATATAAATATATATATATATATGTGTGTGTGTGTGTGTTTGTGTGCAAATGATCTAAATAAAAACATATGATCAATGATATATGTGAGCGTAAACATACAGGTTAGCAAATAACTATTTATTTAATCAATGGTGTAGATAAAACAGTGCTCAATGTAGTTAAACAGATCTATAAAAAGCATGTTAATAATTACATATACCTACGTTTACAGTAGGTATATGTGTAATATATATATATATATATATATATATATATATATATATATATATATATATATATATATGTTGAAGGAAAGAGAGAAGGTAAGGAAAAAAGAGAGTGCGACAATACTTGAACTAAATAAAAGGAATTGAATTATATCATTTAATTCATTCAACACAGTGGATTTAATCAGCGTAAGACAGCCATGCGTGTGTCTATGCTTATTTTTCTTTGCAAAATAATGTATGCCAGTGTACGTGCGCGTGTTTTACCACGGGCAATTATTGGCCCACTTCATTGGGAATATTATGGCTGTTGGCGTGACCAAGTTCATTTAATACATTCATAAATTCTGGCTTGAAAAGAGTTATTTTTCGCATCAAAAGTTTTGTTTTTATACACCTGGCCGTTTCTTATCAGTATATCTATATTGTTCTTTCTCATACCCTTTAAGGCTATCAAAACATTGTCACATAAAAACCGTCTCCTGTTAGAGAACATTTACCTGAAAGATATTATCAAGTCACATTGTTAATGTTCGTGTGTGTGTGTGTGTCTTTGGACTGATATTATTATCTCTTATTATTCTAGAAGACTTTCTGATTTATTATCTGTAAGATGTTTTAGATTAATGTTTTTTTTTCTGTTTTTTATTTTTTTATTTTTTATCGGATACATAGTTCAGGCTTTTATCATTTCATCTTTCTAGCAACCAGGATGAAATGGCTCTATATTAAATAAAAAAAAATATGACTGTACAGGTGTTGACAGTGTTTATTCCTTCGGCGATACTGGAAACCAAACAGCTGTATCTTTGAATCCACTTACATTTTGTTTTTGTTTATAAATAAGGTAAGTCGTTTGTGTGGGTGTGCGCTGGTGTATCGGGTAGCAGCTCGAAATGAGAGTTCGAATTTTAGATGAGTTCTTTTAAGCGACTTCCATTTTTTGGTTCATAATTAAGAGAATTCATTACTATGCCTCTCGTGGACTTTGAATTCTAGTAGAGTTCTTTGAATCTACTCTCATTTTTTGTTTATGAATGAGGTCATTCAGTACTGATCGAAAGAGAGAGTTCCATATCCAGTTATGTTCTTTTAATCAACTTTGATTTTTTGTTCACAAATAAGTTAATTCATTTGTATGGATGCGGGCTGGTGTTTCGGACAGCATTTCTTAATGTGAAATCAGGGTTCGAATTCTATATAAGTTCTTTGAATCGACTTGCATTTTTTTGTTCATATATAAGTTAATACATTACTGTGATGTTCGGAATGAGAACTCGGCGAATTTTAATTCCAGTCAAGTTCTTTGAATCCATTTACATTTTTTTGTTTATAAATAAGGTAATTCATTACTGTGGATGCGCGCTGGTGTATCGGTTAGTAGCTCGGAATGAGAACGCAGCGAGTTCGATTTCCGACCGACTTCTTTGAATCAACTTGATTTTTTTGTTTATAAATAGCGTAAATCACTAGCGTGGTACTCTGAATTTGAACTCGGATACGTCAATATCCCGTCGAATCTTTTCAATGCATTTACATTTTATCTTTATAAATAAGGTAATTCATTACCATCGTGTTCAGATTGAGAGCACGGAGAGTTCAAATTCCAATCGGGTTCTTTGAATCCACTTGCATGTTTTTTTGTTTTTTTTTTATAAATAAATAATTATTGTGGTTTCCGGAATGTGAACTCGGAGAGTTCGATATCCAGTCGAGTTCTTTGAATCCACTTACAATTTTTTCTTTATAAATAAGGTAATTCATTATTGGGGTGCTCGGAATGTGAAATCGTAGAGTTCGAATTCCAGTCGAGTTCTTTGTAATCATTTGCATTTTTTGATTTTAAATACAGTAAAACATTACTGCGGGTACAAGCTTCTTTGTAGGATAGCAGTAAAAGTAAAATCTATATTCAGAGATCTTTAACAGATATTAATGCTACTAAACATCTAAGGGGGGAGTTAAGTTTTCCTACGGGCATTTTATTTGCATAGAGAAGAGAAAAACCTTTGCAGCATTTACCTTCATGCAATACTGTTTTTTATTGTACTTTTAATTCTGTCATTTGGGATGCGACCTGTGCGGATACATTTTCAGCCGGTAATTTGATCAAGTCCGCGGTTGAGCCGAAATCCGTCGCCCGGGATGCAGAGATGAAAAAAAATTTAGATATTCTTCTCTTGCTGATAGATTTTTTTTTACTCCTATGGCAGTGGAGATATCACGGGTTTTTGGCCCTATGTTCGATAGCGTTCCTTCATTACTGCGAGTACGAGCTTGTGTGTGGGATAAGCAGCTTCGAATTAAAGATCGGGAAGTTCGAATTTCTGTCGAGTATTTTTTTTCATTTACTTACGCGCAATGAACTTTGGGAAATATATGATAACATCGCTTCTCTCCACCCCTGCTATGGGAAAATACTAGGACTCATCGTTGGATTAAAATAAAACTTACGGTCGTATCACGCGAAACACCTGTTCCCGTACGATCACCGAAAGTAAACATTTTCGAGCCTGGTTTGTACATAGATTGGTGACCGCTTGGGAATACCAAGGGCAGTAATCTTGGATGTGATGCTGGTATAATGGAAAATGATTCGGATTTTTCAATCAGAGAGCCGAGTTCCAATTCCCGTTGGGTTCGTTATATTCACTTACACGCAAATACGCTTGCAAAATGTATATATCCACAACTTTCTCCCTAGCTATGGATTAATTATTTCAAATTGTATCACTAAACCATTATATATATATATATATATATATATATATATATATATATATATATATATATATATATATATATAACTCATTCTTAGAATCTAAAAATATGTTTTGGCTTTAAGTAACTTGCAAAAGGTTGATGAGCAATCAAGTTATTCTTTGTACCTCCTCAAGTAAATAAATAAAAACTAAGCTAAAATTTAAGAAGATGAAATAAACCAAAATTGTTACAAAGTAAAATCTATATTCAGAGATCTCTAACAGATATTAATGCTACCAAACATCTACGGCGGGAGTTAAATTTCCTTATGGGAATTTTATTTGCATAGAGAAGAGAAAAACCTTCGCAGCAGTTACCTTCATGCCATAATGTTTTTTATTGTAATTTTAATTCTGTCATTTGGGATGCGACCTGTGCGGATACATTTTCAGCCGGTAATTTGATCAAGTCCGCGGTTGAGCCGGGGTCCGTCGCCCGGGACGCAGAGATGAATAAAATAGTTAAATATCCTTCTCTTGCTGATAGATTTTTTTACTCCTATGGCTGTGGAGATATCAGGGGTTATTGGCCCTCGTTCGATGGCGTTCCTTCGGAGGATTGGCGCGATAGCATCTCGATTAAGGGACGAACCTCGTGAAACGGAATGGCTCTTGCAGCGTGTCTCACTAGCGATGGTTCGAGGTAATGCTTTCTCCATCATTTCAGCTGGCAGAGGATAGCAAAAAAAAATGTTAATAGTTTCTGGAATTGTCATCAATGGTCAACTGAACTTGCTTTGTTTTAATAAATATTGCATAGTATTCTCTCATTCGATGCCTGATGTTCCTTTATTTTATATTAAAAAAAAGAATCGTTTATGTCTCCTTTGTTGAATCTCCGAAAAAAAATTCTAAAAAATAAAAATAAAATATATAAACCATTGCTAAAATTACACTTTATACCGACAGATTCCTAATTGATACGAACACTACGATATATCGAATGCGCTGTTGGCATTTTCCGTTTTCCTACAGGAAATCTTTCAGTAATGAATAGAGAAATCTGCACAGCGTGTATTTAAGCCGTGTCTTACGTTCTTCTACAGGGAAAATTTCCATGAAGAATAGACATATTTACAAAGCTATAACTTTAATCCAATATTATTTTCTGTTTGAGTACTAATTCTCTTATTCTATATTTGTACCTAGTTTATAAATAGCGTGACTATTTTCCTGGATTTCATCAAAAATTTAAAATAAAGTAAGAGATAAAACGAAAATAGAATAAAAATAATTAAAAAAAATATCACAAATCAGAATTTATACCCACGGATCCCTAATCGATCGAACTACTAATATGTATCTAATTTCTGGGTAAAACTTTCTGCTTTTCTACAGTTTTTTTTTTACTATAGGAAATAGAGATATATATGCAGTTATGACTTTGATTCAATTCTTTCGATTCATTCTTTTGTGGAGGGGTTGCTTATAATTTCGGAGATCATTGCAAAATTATGTTCAAATTATTTGTTTTTTTTCATGATAATTTACAACAAGATCGAACAATAAAAAATTGAACTTCCTTAAATTTTGGGAGAATGTTTTCTTTTTTTAATCATTTCACCCCAAGCAGGACAATAATGCCACGAAAACGCCAGGAAGTGAATGAAAATTAGATTTTCGTGAGGAGAACGACAATAAAATAACAGAATTCAGGAAGACAGAAGATGACCGCTTGATATTGCATTAAAAGTTTGAAGTTCGTCGGGGGCTGGGAAACAAGAATCCGCAAGATTTTTTTACAGTGATGTTCACCCGGTACAAGGCCTGGGAGCGACACGAGGTAGAAGGTTAGAGAGTAAGATGCACAACATTTAATGCGGATAGGTGGGGGAGATAACGGTTAATCACAGACTTAATCATATAAAGATTGTAGCGTTTTCGAAAACATCCTCTTAGGAAATCTGTCTATATTTCTGAGATCAGCTATTATGCAAACTATTTACATTATTCGGACTATTGTCCTCACCTTTGTTGCCATATTTATCACAACATTTCGGCCGTTGTACGCTCCAGCCTTCTTCAGGTGATTGGAATGTCGAACTGAACCCTCTAGGAAACATGGCACAGTGGATAAAGGCTTTAGTTAGATCAAGTGACAGGACCCAATGAGTGTGAGTTCAATACCTGGTTAAGGCGGTGGAGAACATGGAGAGGGAAATTAACAGGAGATAACTGATAACTGACATCCATTAATGGCACGTGGAACTAGAACAGTCTTCCCCAGTGAGCGAAATCAAGGGTTCAGTTCGACATTCCAACCATCTGAAGAAGACCGGAGCGTACAACGGCCGAAACGTTGTAATAAATATGGCAACAAAGATGAGGAGAATAGTCCGAATAATGTAGATAGTGTATTCACAGAGAAATCGTTCGTGTGAAGAATCTGCTTGAGTTGAACTTACCTCTCACAAATTGAATACAGAAGGAATGAGAGTAGTTCGCAACAATGGGCGTAGCATGGCGGACCCTAGCCGTGAATTTCAGAATAATGGAGCTAAAGGATGTCGTCCGTCTAAGCACTGTCCATGGAAGTAAAGATACATCAGTGTGAGGCATGTGACAGCCCGTCTCTGAGTGAAGTGTTGCAGGATGGAAAATAATTCGTCACCCACAATAAAATGGAGACGCATTTGGACTCTATCGAGACTGGAAAGTGAGGATTGTGTAGCTTCTGCCCAAATGTGAGAGCAGAACTCCATTTTAGGCCTGATCTGGCTCTGGTAAATATAGAGGATAGCACGAGTAGTCAGGAACTTGCAGCGGTGGTAGACGGAATCGATCATTTTTCGGCATCTATTGCAATGGGTCGTATTTATGAATTCGACTTGAAACCTGAGTTGAATTGAGTCAATCGTCGGCCAACATAGGGAAGGTCCATTCATCGTGACTGGGGGTAGTTCAGAGTCCAGTCTGCGACGATGGAAAGTAACTAGTTTGATTTTCGAGACATTGAATGTAACCAGTCTGTTTCCCCACCCCAATGAGATGTTTAAGCCAGACCGGAATTGTGATCAGCTGCCAATCACTGGTCATCATGAGTTCTGATTCTGCACCAATCTACTCTTGTATAATCACCATAAATATACATAAATGATCGGAATATACTCTGAAGTAGATCATTTATGTAAAGTAAAAATAAGGTTAGTCCGAGGTGACCCCTAAGGCCTGCGTTGTTTGCTAGTGCTCCAGCGGACTGGCCTTTAACAACTTCAACTAACTTCCCGTTAGGAAGGACTTTATTACTGAGAAGTCTCTTACAGCATATTCCACAGCTAGAGAGCTTGAGCAGTAATCCTTTTTGCCACACCTTGTCAAATATATTCGAAATATCTAATGCTATAATTCTTGAGTTGTATTTGTCGTCTAGTGCTTCACTGATTCTGTGAGTAATTGCAGTTGGGACATCAGTTTTGGTTCAGGCTAATCGAAACCCTTACTGCTTGTCGCTCAAGAGGCTGTTCTTATTTAGGTGCTCAACAATCATCTTGTTGATTAGAGCCTCAAAAAGCTTTCTAATAACGCTGAGGAGATGGATTGATATTGAGCAGAGGATTATCTCTCGCCCGAATTCTTGAAAATCTGCCATAAGCATAACACTATCCACGCACTTGGGAAGGATTTCTCCCTCAAGCAGCGGTTAAGTAACGGTTAAATAATTTCTCAAAGACTGTGGATAGTTCCGGGCTGATATTCTTAAGCAGAACCACTGGGATTCTGCCTGGGCCAGTGGCTTTGTTAGGGTCAACGCTTTTGATAAGTCTTGAGTCTTCCCAGGCTGTGATAAAAATACTACTGAGAGTGTGTTCGGAAAAAGTTGGGAATGGGATCTCCGATGACGTTTAATGTTAGGTTGGAGGCAAAGATTGAGGCCAAGTGCTACGCCCTATCTTTCTAGAAAGATATGACTTCGAGGCCATTTATAATAGCGTCGCTTTGCCTTCATTCATGATTTGGTTGGTGATCTTCCAGAACTGTCGGGATTCAATTTGTTTCTTTCCGATCTGGGACTGGTGTTGTATTTTCGAGATAAAAAAGGAAAATAAAAAAGGAAGACAAACCTGTAGGCAAGTAATGAAATAGAAGGTAGAATTAGTAATTGACTTAATGTTATCTTTGTATTTAACCAAGCTCCCTACAGAGCGGGATGTGCCACAAGGCCGGTTTAACGTGAGTTTTTACGAGCCCGAAAACCCAGGCAAAAATTCCTCGTCGATCCCCGTAATAACGGGGTCGTGTTTGCCTACCTCCCCAGATGAGACGCTGTCCTTCGCTATAGCCTCGTCTGAGTTCCTCTCGGTATCTACCCGAGCTCCCCACAGAGCGGGATGTGCCACAAGGCCGGTTTAACGTGCTATTTTCCGAGACCGTAGGCCCGGGCAAAAATTCCCCGTATAACCCGTGATAACGGAGTCGGATTTGTATAGCTCCCCAGACGAGACACTGACCTTCGGCATAGCTTCGTTTGGGTTCCTATCTGCGCGAAAGCAGAGAGTTCGACAAGGACTAAGATCTCAACGCGCGGCTAGGACCTAATGTTAACTCTCACAGGAGTGACTCAAGGTAGTTAAAAACAATGTCGAATGCAAAGCCTTCAAAATTAGATTTAGCAAATATAGAAGATTATTTGATTTGAAATGGAACGCTTAAAATTTCTTCTCATACGAATTAATGGCAACAGCTTCCTCGCTTTACGTTATTTTGGAAAAGGAGAAAATCTTGGATAAATGTATGCCTTTCGTAAATGCGAAATGACGAAGAAGCAATGTTTTCAAAAATTCTTAATACCTTCAATAAAAA